TGAGATCAAGTTCGGCCAGATCTACCTTTCGCGACCGACGGTTACAGAAGCGGACGGTTCTGTTGTGCCAATATTCCCGCAGGAGGCCAGGTTGCGGAACTTGACGTACTCGGCGCCGTTGTATGTTGAAATGAAGAAGAGGACACTAGTAGGGAGAGAGGACCCTGATAGCACCACCGGAGACTTGGTTTGGGAGCAAGAACATGATGAGTCACCTGAGGACACGAGGAAGGTGTGGATAGGAAAGGTGCGTCTACCTGAAGTTCGGTGTTGATCCTTCGTCTGAGTTGCTGTCACAGGTCCCCATTATGCTGAGGTCAACATTTTGTATCCTCAACAAGTTGACGCAAGAGGAGCTCTTTGACTTGAATGAATGTCCCTATGACTCTGGAGGATATTTTATCATCAACGGTTCGGAGAAGGTCCTCATCGCTCAGGAGCGCATGGCTACGAATCATGTCTACGTCTTCGCTAAGGCTCAGCCGTCCCCGATCAGTTTTCTCGCTGAGATTCGTAGTGCTGTCGAGAAGGGTGGCAAGACCATCAGTCAGTTCCAAGTGAAGCTGTACCACAGAAACCAAGAACGCTCGGTGAGTAGACTGGTAAAGTGCGTCTGTTGACCAGCTTATAGCTTTGCGCCGCGTAGTTGGGCAATGTCATGAAAGCAACTATCCCTTATATCAAGGTCGACATCCCCATCTGGGTCGTTTTCCGCGCGCTTGGCGTCATCTCTGACCGTGATATTCTTGAGCATATTTGCTACGACATGCAGGATGCGCAAATGCTCGAAATGCTCAAGCCTTGCATCGACGATGGTTTTGTCATTCAGGACCGCGAGGTATGCGTGATTGGGTCATAAATATCAACATGCCCTGATGTATTCCTAGATTGCCCTCGACTTCATTGGGAATCGAGGAACGACCACTGGTCTGAATCGTGAGCGTCGTCTTCGATATGCGCAAGAAATTTTGCAAAAGGAGATGTTGCCGCATATCCATGTCTGAGGGTTCGGAATCGAAGAAGGCATACTTCTTCGGTTACATGATTCACCGTCTGCTACTGGCAGCCCTGGAACGACGGGATCTCGACGATCGTGATCACTTCGGAAAGAAACGTCTGGATCTGGCAGGACCTCTGCTTGCAAACCTTTTCCGTATGCTCTTCCGCAAGCTCACCCGCGACGTCTATCGGTACTTGCAGAAGGTGCGTCATGCGTACGCTCGCATACCTGGGGTACTCACAGGACCTCTAGTGCGTCGAGACTCACAAGGAGTTCAATCTTTCACTCGCCGTCAAACATAACACGATTACCAACGGTCTCAAGTACTCGTTGGCTACTGGTAACTGGGGAGACCAGAAAAAGTCCATGTCCGCCAAAGCTGGTGTCTCGCAAGTGCTTAACAGATACACTTACGCTTCCACTCTTTCCCACCTTCGTCGTTGTAACACTCCCCTCGGACGAGAAGGAAAGATCGCGAAGCCCCGCCAGCTGCACAACACTCATTGGGGCATGGTCTGTCCCGCTGAGACGCCAGAAGGTCAGGCTTGCGGTCTGGTCAAGAACCTGTCTCTCATGGCTTGCATCTCTGTTGGCTCGCTTTCTGCTCCTGTCATCGAGTTCTTGGAAGAGTGGGGTTTGGAGTCACTGGAGGAGAACGCGCACTCAACCACGCCGTGTACGAAGGTCTTCGTCAACGGTGTCTGGATGGGCGTCCATCGAGACCCAGCGAACTTAGTCAAAACTATCAAGAAGCTCCGTCGAAAGGATGATATCAGCCCCGAAGTCTCGGTCGTTCGAGATATCCGCGAGCGAGAACTGCGTCTCTATACAGATGCTGGACGCGTCTGCCGGCCGCTCTTCATCGTCGAAAACAACCAGCTTACTCTGCGCAAGAAGCACATTGAATGGATCGCTAGCGGAGTGCCGCAATACGATGACGCAGGGAGTCGGCTTCTGAAGGAAGATGGCACGTACGACAATCAACCCTATGAGTGGAGCAACCTCGTTAAGGACGGTGTTATTGAGCTGCTGGACGCGGAGGAAGAGGAGACTGTTATGATCTGCATGACGCCAGAGGACCTCGAGAATGCCCGGTTGCAGCAGGCCGGAATCGACTCTCATCGTGACGAGAGCGAATTTGATCCTTCCGCGCGGCTGAAGAACTTTTCGATGGCGCATCTGTGGACACACTGCGAGATTCATCCCAGCATGATCTTAGGGGTTTGCGCGAGTATCATTCCTTTCCCTGACCACAATCAGGTATGATGAAGCTCTGCTCAACTGGGTCTGTTGACTAACGTATCTCATAGTCTCCTCGTAACACCTACCAGTCGGCTATGGGTAAGCAGGCTATGGGCATCTACCTCACAAACTTCCTCGTCCGCATGGACACTATGGCGAACATCCTCTACTACCCTCAGAAGCCGCTGGCGACGACTCGTTCGATGGAGTATCTGAAGTTCCGAGAACTCCCTGCTGGACAGAATGCGATCGTCGCCATTCTTTGCTATAGCGGCTATAACCAGGAAGACTCCGTCATTATGAACCAGAGCTCCATTGATCGTGGCCTCTTCCGGAGTATGTACTACCGCAGCTATATGGATCTCGAGAAGAAGAGCGGCGTACAGCAGCTCGAAGAGTTCGAGAAGCCGACCCGGGATACTACTCTCCGTATGAAGCACGGCACGTACGACAAGCTCGAAGACGACGGCCTTATCGCGCCTGGCACCGGCGTCAACGGCGAGGATATCATTATTGGCAAGACCGCCCCCATCCCACCGGACAGCGAAGAGCTTGGCCAGCGAACACGGACACATACCAAGCGTGACGTATCGACGCCGCTCAAGAGTACTGAGAGCGGCATCATCGACCAGGTGCTCATCACGACGAACGCGGAAGGTCAAAAGTTTGTCAAAATTCGTGTTCGGTCTACTCGTATTCCCCAAATCGGAGACAAGTTCGCTTCTCGTCACGGACAGAAGGGAACCATTGGCATCACTTATCGCCAAGAGGACATGCCGTTCACAGCGGAGGGTATCACTCCTGACATCGTCATTAACCCTCACGCCATTCCCTCACGCATGACTATCGGTCACTTGGTCGAGTGTCTGCTCTCGAAGGTCGCCACCATCGTTGGAAATGAGGGTGATGCTACACCGTTCACTGATCTCACCGTCGAGTCCGTCTCGCAGATCCTTCGCGAGCAGGGCTACCAGTCCCGTGGCCTTGAAATTATGTACCACGGTCACACCGGCCGTAAGCTGCAGGCTCAGGTCTACTTTGGCCCGACATACTACCAGCGTCTCAAGCACATGGTTGATGACAAGATCCACTCGCGTGCGCGTGGCCCGGTACAAATCCTCACCCGCCAGCCGGTCGAGGGTCGCAGTCGAGACGGTGGTCTTCGTTTCGGAGAGATGGAGCGTGATTGTATGATCTCGCACGGTGTAGCTGCGTTCTTGAAGGAGCGTCTGTTCGAGGCTAGCGACGCCTATCGGTTACACGTCTGCGACATCTGCGGTCTTACCGCGATTGCTAATCTTGTGGGTCTCCATTTTGACACGCCTCCAACGTGTTGAGCTAACTTCTCTTCCGCAGAAAAAGCAGACGTTCGAATGTCGATCGTGCAAAAACAAGACGGCATGCTCGCAGCTTTACATTCCGTACGCGGCGAAGTTGCTGTTCCAGGAGCTGCAAAGTATGAACATCGCAGCCCGTTTGTACACCGTATCAACAGGGCGGATACGAGATTAGACCTTAATGCAGATGCTTTCGCTCGATGTTTTGCTATGTATTTTACAATTATCCGTCCGTTCGATTTCGAACTACTACGGGACAATCAATATATGGTGTGTAATAATCTAAACATCCTTCATCAGTCCCTCTCGTTCATATTCTTCGCCGTCGTGATGTTGGTTGCGCCGCCTTTTCGCAGGATCCTCGTCCTCGCTGAGCTCGTGCGCATCCTCATCACCAATCTCGAAGACAACAGCGTCCTCCGCCATCGAGCCCGGCCCACGGCCGACGAGCGTCGCAGTGTCGTCATCATCATGCTGGAAAGGTCCATTGGCTTCTGTTCGCCGTTCAATCGCCTCGAGGTCGTAGTCTTCGGCATCTTCCTCTTCTTGAGCGAGCTCGTCGAACATCGCCAGTCGCCTGTTGTTTGGCGTGGGTCGCCACAGGTAACCGACCACGACAAAATCAATCAGGTAAAGGAGGGCGAGCCAGCCGTCGAGCAACCACCACTGGAACTTCCATGATCTGGCGCCGTAGTCTGTGACATACGGTAAGCTGCTGCGCCTGTGACCTGGTGCATGAGTATTACACACCTTCGGCAAGACGTCCAGAAAATGTCATCGACGAAACAACGAAGAAGATAACGACCATGAGAACCGTGAAGAGTAGGAGGCGGTAGAGACGCTGGAACATCCCCAACTTGAAGCGTTGCTTCCTCGCAGCTAGTTGATTGATAGTAGCTGTATTCGCACTTATAAGCAGTCTATTAAGTCTGAATGAGGGACTGCTCACCATTAAGAGCGTAGAGGATCCAAAGCAAGAAGCCGCTCAAAGTGAAAGCTAGAGGAATGACGAAAAGGAGAAGCACAAAAGCAGATGTCGACTCAAGCTCAAGCTCAACAATTCCGATAGCATACAGCACTGAGTACGAAGGAGCGTTCAGAAGCAGTTGCCGCGATACCCTTATGCTGACGTACCTCCGAAGATAAAGTGCGCTACAGCGAGCAGCTGGCAGCGAATCATCGTCTTGCCAAGAGACTCACGAACCACACTCAAACCAAGAGAAACGACCAGAAGCAGGAAGAACGAAAGTGCATTACGCCCGGCATCCAGAATGGCCACTGTTTCTAGTGAGATTAGGTCAGGGGTGAGCAGATGTAACACCTACCGATGATGAGGAACGCCGTAGACGATGTGCCCTTGCCGTGCGCATTGAGGAAGCGGTAGTACGCTGTATGATTACCGTCAGTCTAAGATCCACCATTTAGATACTCAAGCTCCCACCCCAACTGGCAAGCATTTCGACTACGAGGAAACCAAGAAGGCTAGATAGATAATACTGGCAAGACTGTAAGTTACGCTTAGAGTATAGGCTATGAAAGGGCTTACCTGAATGGGGAGAAGATCCTGCAGGTTTCTGTAGCATTGCCAGGCCCAAACCCCTCCAATGATCGTGTACACGATGAACATGGTGAGGTAGAACTTCAAGACAGTTGTCAGTTGACGTACGATGGTAGCATCACTTCTGAATGTACGTACATCCACTTTCGGGTACTCAGCGGCGGAAAGTTTGCCGTTGAACTTATTTTGGAATAGAACAGTGCCTTGATATTTGGGATGGAAGGGGACATCTGTCGGAGCCTGCCTTGGTGAATTGTTGTTATCGCTGGATTGCAGTACAGTAACGGGAACGATTGCTGAAGATACAGCGACGTTAGGGGCCGAATATATGTTGTGAAGAACGCCTTACCGACACAATAATACCCCGTCTTTCGTACGAGGTACTGGATAGGTTCTTGATAGTGGAGAATGCCTGAAGGACTTTGATTAAGAGGCTGATCGTTTTGTCGCCTAGCAAACTGCTGCGGTAGACTCCTGGCGAACCGGCTGCCGCGCCTCCAGGGGGTGGTATAATCGTTATCGGCGTCGGGAGGTGTCGGATTGCCTTCGGGGTTATCCCAGAATCCACTGGAGGCAATTTCTGTTGACTCAGAGACGTCTTCACGGTTGCCGGAGGAGAAGGCTACCCTAGCCGACCAGAAGCTTGTCTCGTTGAGCGACTTCCCCTCCGGTAGGTCGATGATGAAGCGGCCGAGTTGTGAGTTATCGCAAAACCCCCCTCGGACAGCGTCAGAAGTGCAGACATATGTCTTCTGCTGACTATGTTCATGACACAAATCCAAATGAGCAAGCGACCGCAACGACTCACCGGCATGAAGTCGTCTTGTGAAGTGACTTTGCCTAGATACGACATGTCTTTCCATTCGTATATTACCATTGATAGCTGCCCTTGGGACGTGCTATCGAATGTAACTGCATGTATTGCATTGAGTCCGAAGGTATACCTAAGCCCACTGGCACACGCGCACCATTTATGAACGTATTGCTCCCTCCCCACATTCCAGAGCATATTTGGCGATCGTAGTCAGCGTCAGACACAGGCACATCGTATCCTGCAGCTAGAGTTGATGCAAGCAGAAGAGTGAGGGATGTAGAGAGTAATGAACTCCGAAGTCTGGGTAGCAGCATGGCGAGTGCACCCTATGGGACGCGGATGAGTGGGTGAAGGCTAAGCGCTCGAGAGTGCGTTGCTGTCAACAGGCGCCCTGTGATCGCCCTTCGGGCCGGCACGCGAGGAATATTTGTTTCCGACCATGATACCCGCTTTTGCCGATGTTCCTCATGCATATGATCTTAAATGAAAGGTCGTGTATTTTGTTCGTATGTTGACTCGCACATCTCATTCTCTCATCTTGCTTTAGCCAGGACACTCATCGCCTGTTTTCTTGGAGTCTGGCATGTGGCAGACTTCTTTAGGTATCGCCGTCGTGGCCTCAGGAGCGGTGGCTCAATGATTGAGGCGTACAATGTGGGTGCGTCTGCGGCAGCTACCAAAATCCGCCGCGAGCCGAGGCGACAAGGCGGAGGCAGCGGATAACCATTGCAGATGCTCCCGGTGGTAAAACGGCGTGTCGTGTGCGACTGAACATAGCGGTGGGTCCCTAGCGAGCTCCAACTGACGCGTCACAAGCTACTTGTAGTAGTCGGCTTGTCCATGCAACTGAGGCTGGCGGGGGCTGACGGCTACTGGCTCTGCGCTCGTCCGACATATAACATATCGTTCTCATCTGTTCCCCATATTTCCACCGCCCTCTGGTACCCGTCATGCCTGTCCCTGCTGTTGTCCGCGACTCCTTCATTGGCACCGTCGTCTACTTCGCATCAGGGCAACAGTATTTCCGTCACCCAGAGGAACAGCCTGATTTTGTACTTCCGGAAAAGTACGCCAAAGCATCGCAGAAGCGGCTAACGCAGCGAAGTGATCGGTCCGACGCTTCTTCTCAAACGCAATCCGAAGCTGCCACTATTGTCGATCCTCCGCTATCAGGCAGAAACGCCAGCACAGTTCATGCCGAGAACGACAACAGACTCAGAGATAACCAGACTGCCGAGAATGCGTCGCAGGCGGGGGCCGCTCGACCGTCTTTCGACGTCGAGAAAGGCGAGAAAGGCAAAGTTAAACAGAAAGAAATCGTCGCCGAACAACCTTTGGACAACGAGATAGTAGACTGGTATAGCCCAGACGACCCCGAATGCCCTCGCAACGTGCGTCGTGATTACTGCTATGCGCGTGCTTGAGGCTCACAAGTGCGCCGCAGTGGTCGTTCTTCAAACGTTGCTTTGTGACGTTCAACATATGCCTTCTGACATTCAGCATCTACATCGGTTCAGCAATTTACTCTCCCGGTATCGAATTAGTCGCCGAACAGTTTGGAGTCTCAGACGTCGCTGCGACGCTCGGCCTCACCCTATTCGTCGTGGGCTACGGTATCGGACCCATGTTCTTGAGCCCGCTTTCCGAAATCCCGCAGTTTGGCAGGACAACCGTCTATATTCTAGCTATGCTCGTCTTCGTCTGCGTCCAAGTGCCGACGGCTCTTTCCAAGAATCTTGGCGCACTTCTCCCACTCCGTTTCCTTGCAGGCTTTGTTGGCTCTCCACCGCTGGCAACTGGAGGCGCGAGTGTTGCAGACATGTGGGCGCCCGAAGATCGCGCCGTCGTCATCGGTCTCTGGGGCTTAGCGGCCGTCTGCGGACCTGTTCTTGGTCCACTGGCCGGTGGCTTTGCTGCCCAGGCTAAAGGCTGGACCTGGACCATCTGGATCTTGCTCCGGATCTCCGGTGGATCACTCGCCTGGCTCTCACTCACACTACCAGAGACTTCCGCGCAAGCGTGAGTGTACTTCAAGCTCATCCACTACTCTCGCCTGACGTGATTTTAGGATCCTCTTTCGTCGTGCCGACCGCCTCCGTCGTCTGACTGGCAACCCGAATCTTAAATCCCAGGGTGAAATTGACGGGGAGCACATGACGATGGGCGAGATCGCACAAATGACACTAGTCCGGCCATTCTTGCTTACTTTCAGAGAGCCCATCGTGTTCGTCATGAACCTTTACGTCGCCTTGGCTTATAGTAAGCTTTCCTGGATTTCCCCGAGCATGTATTAATTGCTCCGTAGGCATTCTGTACTTATTCATTGCGTCTTTCAACGTGGTCTTCATTGAGAACCACGGATCTAACCTCGGGGAGAATGGCCTGGCGTTCATGGTGTCCCTAGCCCAGTCGCGTTTGCAGATTTCAAAACTGAGCATGCGTCATAGGGCTTATTCATTGGTGCAATTGTTACCTACGCCTTTTTTGCGCCATACGCTATCTACGTCCTGAAACCGATGTTCAAGGATGGAGAAGAGAGCATGACCTAGTCCCATATCGTATTGTTATTTGGAGCTGAGTTGATAATAACAACAGATTTCATCCCCGAGAACCGTCTTCCAGTCGCGATGGTGGGCGCAATTTTTCTACCGATCTCCCTGTTCTGGTTCGGTTGGACGAGCTTCTCGAGCATCAACTTTATCGTGCCTATCATCGGCTCCGCATTCTTTTCAGTAGGGACGTTCCTCCTTTTCCAAGCTGGTCTGAAGTGGGTAGTTCCAATTTTATCAAACTGACTCCCTTCTCACCGGCTCGCTTCGGTTGCAGCTACTTGTCTGACTGCTACCCACGCTACGTGGCCTCAATCCTTGCCGATAATGACTTTTTTCGATCGTGCGTCGGTGCGGCGTTCCCTCTGTTCAGCACGGGTGTGTGACTCGTATATGATGGTGAGTTCGTGCTAACGGTCACCTCA